TAGCAACTCTATAACATGGCAGAATACATTCAGGCTTATGTTATTTGTGGATATATGATATCAACATTGCATTTTTACCCAAGAGAGATGAATGAACAAAGGCAGCAGAAGAGTCACATTTCTGATAGCAAATCAGAGGCGGGATGTTTGCATATCGTGAATATTAATGAGTAACACTCCAAATTCCAGCCCCTGAAACTGGAGCAACAGAGCTCCCCCCTCACCCAGAAAACTACTGACGAGGCATTCACTCAAACTAAAGACCACAGCAGATTAGTTTAAAAAAAATGAGTGGATGATGACTTTAGGACCGAGCACTAAAGTGATTATCATAGCTATTAAGCTCCTAGGTCTGCCAGGTGAGCAGAAAGACTCCCCTTCTGTTTAATGTAGAACAACTTTAAAAAGTCCCATTAAAATCTGCTAGATTTCATAAATTTTGCCACAAAAATGTTCCTGGGAAAAAAAAAGGAAATTGCTTTCTGTGAGTAAACCATGACTGTTTTCTATAAATAAGGGATGGACAATATATCGGCATCAATATCGGTATCGGCCGATGTTAGTCATTTTTTAACATATCGATTTGATCAATAAAACCGGGCCGATATTGACAACCAATATTTTTTCAATTTTTTCTCCATTTGTTTGCCTGTTTCAGAGAATGGTGGTGGTGGTGGTGGGGGGGGGGGGGGGGGGATATGTTATTGTTTAGTCACGTGACAGTGATTTTAATCATCTCAGAAGTGTTAATGTGTGTGTGTTATGTGTACTTAATAACGTAAATTCAGCTTTATTCATTTTCATTCTATACAAAATCTGCTGATTTTAGAAACAATGTCAGTATATCGGTATTGGCTATCGGCCATAACGGTGATCTTAATATCGGATATAGGTATCGGCCCAAAAATTTCACATCGGTTCATCACTACTATAAATGTATTTATTTTGCATGTGTGAAAACAAAAATACACTGTCCATTTTTCTGTGTGTTCTTACACTGACAGTGGAGTGCTTTGCAACCCTGTTACAAATAAACTAATGGAGTTTAAAGTGTTTGGGTTTATTCATCTTTAAAATCCGGCGCCATCAAATCTTTTAATCTCAGATTGAATTGAATATGACTACATTCTTAAAGATTAGATATATTTTGAGCTCCTATAATTTTGCTGGGATTGATGCAAACAAAAGGTCAAACTGTAATCAAAGCTGAAGTTAGACAGTTTCCGCTTGGGGGCGAATAGCACATGATCTTCAGGTATTTTAGACGTTATTATGAAACGATGGATTGATGTGCTTGTCCCGGGGTTTGAAACGGTATTTAGCCTTGCTAAATACGGTTTTTGTTGAAGGTGGTACAGCTGGATTTAGTTGCTGAGACGTGTGTGTGTGTGTGTGTGTGTGTGTGTGTGTGTGTGTGTGTGTGTGTGTGTGTGTGTGTGTGTGTGTGTGTGTGTGTGTGTGTGTGTGTGTGTGTGTGTGTGTGTGTGTGTGTGTGTGTGTGTGTGTGTGTGTGTGTGTGTGTGTGTGTGTGTGTGTGTGTGTGTGTGTGTGTGTGTGTGTGTGTGTGTGTGTGTGTGTGTGTGTGTGTGTGTGTGTGTGTGTGTGTGTGTGTGTGTGTGTGTGTGTGTGTGTGTGTCCTTAAGCTTCACAGTAGCACCTACAGCATTTGGAGATTTCTTTTGTTGCAGCATGTGTCCCATAATTGTGGCCCAGTCTGAAGCACCTAGTGTGTGTCAGGAACCACGCTGTGGTGCAAGTTTGCGTTTGAGCTGTTGCCCACATGGATTACCCGGACACTCCCTGCTGCTCTTATCTAAGTTTGTTTGAGCCACCACCACCTTACCTCACCTCTGCACACAAACAGTCTAGCTTGGCTAGAAGTACTCCTCTCTGACAGAACCATGAGCAAAGGCCACTTCCTCCCCTCACCTTTGGATACGCTCTTCAGAGAGGGACAGCAGCAACACGTGTGATGCCTGAAATGGTTTTGGAGGGGAGAAAAAATGCTGATTATTTCAATTAGATCAGGACATTTTGTTGTCCTCTTTATCTTAATGACTTTTGTGGCTTGATCACATCCATTGAAAACAAAGTGTTGCAGATTTAAGGTGGAAGTACGAGGCTCCTTTTTCTGCTCACTTTTAGTGCTGGTTGTCCTCCGCTCAGCTTGTTTGCTTAATTTTTGGTTTTTGTTGCTGAAGAGAAAGGTAGAGGGTGTGCCTCCACCGTTTTTTACATTTGCTTTTCTCTCACTAATCTGGCTTTAGTAATAGTCGAAGGTGGGGTTGTGTGCACAAGTATGAGCAAATTTCAGTTCTGTTATCACTGTAAATAAGAGGCTGTGCACCGTAATGCACCGATAAGCTAATCTATAAGACTTTGGAGTCTTTGGGATTTTTGCTTTTACTGTTTGGTCATTAAAGCGCTCAGGAATTAACATGACTTTATGTCGCACACTGATGCTGAAATTCTACGGGAAACTCAAAACTCTGAATTGAAGTTGGAGTAAAATATTTAAATTGGTCGTATTCTAAATTTATGACTGATCTATACAAAACGGATCTTTGTACAAAATCAGTCTCAAGCCTCCTTTCCACCAGACGTGAAAGCATTGCGAAACGTACTTTGCAGCAGTGAGTTAGCCGCTGTTCTAGCGGACGAGTTCCCTTCCACCGGCAGCAAAGTGTGACTTTTGGACGAGTCCCAGAAGTGAAGGAACACTTTCATTTAGGTTCTGGTCTATTTGTTTACAATCTACGCTTCCAAAATATGTCAAACTCCACAGTTTAGATCCGGGACAGACAGGAAGTCAAACAGGAAAGCTGTGTAAAACATCTGGAAATCTTTCAAAATAAAAGTCTGATGCAGATAAAGGTATGTAATTTTCCTGTGAAACCCCCAAAGCTGATGTAAACAGAACAGACTTCTACAATCATGCATGATGTTGCAATTCTTCTGTGATATATATATATATAATTTTGCTTTGTGGGGGGGTAGGAAGGGAACTCGCGGATTTTCCATAATATTTTTATGTATCTTTAGATGCTATTCTGATCAAAGATGAAGTTCATGCTGATACCCAGTGAAGAGCAGAAGTAGTTTTAATGTTGGTTCACTTGATATTTAAAGCAGATTTAGTTGTGTAGCGTTAATTACTACATATTTGGGAATTAAAGGCAGTTGCTATTCAGCTGAATGTTCCCGTTTTTATAGTGTTTCTGTTAAAGGTTAGCCATGTTTTCTACTTCTGGTTTTCTTACCATGAATTTGGATTTTAGAAAAATAAATGGTCCTGATGTTAAAAAATTAAATAAGAACTCCTTCACATTTATCCCTAAACGTTTATAAACTAAACTATGCAACTTTGTGTGAATGCAGCCTGCAGTTTTCAGAATTTATTGGTGCAACATGGATCTATTTAATGTTTTATTTCTATGATTTGTGGACTATGGATTTAAGGACTCTTTAGATCTGTTAATGAAACCTTTACAAAATATTTTTATATTAGAGATGGACCAATAATAAGACCAGTGATGGAATCGCCCCAGTCACTGTGACCAGGTGAAAGCTCCAATACCTTTTGGTTTTTTGCTCTTTGAAAATCTCACATTTTTCATTCTGTGAACACACCGTTAAGCGCTAATTCACTAGTGAAAGTTTATTAAATAATCTTTCAGCTAAATTGAATCTGCTGGTCAGAGACATACAAACATCAGCCCTGGAAAACCAATCATCTCCAGTAGTTTTCCTGCTTTATTTATTTATTTATTTATTTATTACTTTACAATTAAAGCAAATTTAGATCGGGATGTTCTATAAAATAATTTTAGAGTTTTGTGTATCGGAATATTTAAAAAATGAACCATTAACCTGCTGGTGTTCATTGGCCTGTTTTGGGTTTACTGTCTGTTGCCTTCTTCACCCCCTTTTCTCCTAACGTTGGAAGTGTTCCTCCCTTATTAGTTGGTGCTGGCAAGCCGCTGATCTTTCCTCGCAGACTGTTACAAACACGCCCCGACACGCACCTGTAATTCTCTCTGACTGTCTGAAGGCCTGTCATCCATCGCCAGCGGCTGCGTGAACCAGTCAGTGTTTAAGGTGGTCCAAACGCTCTCGCACAGACTTCCTGGCAAGAAGCCAGAATTAATCGACTAGAATTATGATTAAAAAAAAAGTCAACTAGGCTTCATTTTGAGTCCCACTTCATTAGTTTTAGATGATGTGTTCGTGTTAACATTTCAAGAAACAAACTGTTGGGTCTTTTAACGCCGCTAACAGGTTGACCCAGCAGCAGGAGCAGAGCTCGCTGAGTTGGTTATAAACACGCAGCAGGTGCTGGTATTTTGACCCGGCTGATGCTGTCGCCATCAGAAGCTGGTTGGACCTGTATGGCTTTTTTGTGTGTGCGTGTCTCACGGTGTCTGGTTGTTGGTTGTGTAAAGAGAAGGTGTGATCCTGATGATTAGCAGCGTGATCATTCCTTTGTTGGCCCTCCTCCCCTGGAAGGAAAATGGTAAAACCTGTTGGACGTGACTACTTCCTGGCTAGAAACAAATGGTTGACCAGGGCTCCTTCACTATTACAAAAAATAATGTAATACTTTTTGTATTTAACTACCATTTAATGAAATTGAACTAAAATCCATTATCTTCTATTGATTTAAAATATTTTAGATCAGATATTTGTTTTTTTCTACATTTGGTGAATCAGAAAAATCTGTATTATTTCTTAATATTACAGCAAACTGCCAATAATTTACATTAATTTTGGTATTTTTAAGACCAAATCTTAATAAATATGTCCTCCTATTGCATCCTTGGCTTTATCAAGTGTTGGGGATGACAAAACCACATGCAACTTTCTTAACTGCATCACACAGGAAGTGATCAGGCTTATGGTGTGTAACATCTAAATAAGTCTGGGTGGAAACTTTGCTTCTTTGGCAGATCACAATAATTATCTCACCTCTAATTTATATTTTCTCATTCTTCCTCCCACAGTTCCAACAGTCTGTAACATCAGAAGTAAAATGCCTCGGCAGGAACTCCTACACCCTCCTGGTGGACAGCCCCCATATCATCCGACAGGCCCTCCACCCAGAAGCCTCCAAAAAGGTCAATTGTCCTTTCAAAATAAAATTGTGTGGGGCTGTTTTAATTGGACTTTTAATATTTACCAAGTTAGTGGGTTTTATTTCTAGTTGGCTCCTAATTTAACACTAATCTTCATATTAGGAGGCTGACTTGTTGAATTTTTGTCTTCCTGTCCAGAACTTTGTACTACCGGAGTGTTTCTTTTCATTTTTTGACGTGAGGAAGGAATTTCAAAAATGCTGCTCAAATGCAGGCCCGGTCCAGAAGCTCACACTCTCCTCTATGCTGGAGTGTATCCTTTGGGTCCCATTTAAATACAGCACGTGACTTTTGAAACCACCTGATCTATGTTGCTGACATTAAAATGTGCATTATTCCACAGTCTGTGTGCTAGGGGTGGACAGCCTTAACTGTGTGTGTGCAGATGTTGGCCAGCCTGCTGTAGCAGAGCAGCAGATTGGGGTGAGAGAGGTGAGGAGCATGGTGCAGCTCACTCGCTCCATCCTGGCTGAGCCTCACAGTAAGCAACTATAATTTCATATTTCCCACTGACCTGGAGGTCAAACCAGTAGCTCACTGGGTTGTGTATAGTAGGCAAATTTAGCTAGGACACTGAATTGGTGCTTTTATATTTGATTATTCATGCAACTTTTGTGCAGATGTCTTTGTTGCTAAATGTTCTAACTGAGTTGTTCTTTCTCAATTTACCCTAATTTGTTTGCAACTTTTCTCTCTTGTAATATCAACTTCTATCTTTATTCGTCTAATTAGTCACAACCTCGTTTGAAAGGTCAACACCTCGCACAGTTATATCACAGTTCTCACGCTGTCTGACTCATCGAAGCATTATACAGAAGTTTTTTTTTCTTGCAAAGTTTTTGAACATTTTCAGATTTTGGTGTTTGTACAAATACTTAATAGCCTTGGTGAACGTGTGTGCGTGTGCGTGTGCGCGTGCGTGCGTGCGTGCGTGCGTGTGTGCGTGCGTGCGTGCGTGCGTGCGTGCCTGTGCGTCTGTGCCTGCTCCTGGCTTAAGGAACTAAAGTAAGATCAGTCTATAGATATATTACTGTCAGTGTTGGGAGTAACGCGGTACAAAAGTAATTAATTACTGTGATGCATTGCTTTTTGCTGTAATGTGGTAATGTAAGGCATTACAGGGAAAGATAATGGTAATATTTACTCGGTACAACTGTCAGTAACGCGGTAATTACAATGCATTTTTAAACCCAGAATCAAGATGTGGCTTTCCTAAAAATTCAAATTGCGGGAAGCCTGAAAAAAGATCCAGTATCCACATATGTGACGTCATTCACGGATTCAGCTTTGCGGGCATTCTATGAGCAGAGAGGACGCAGCGGTAACGGCTCAAATACTCCAGCTGCGTCCTGCGCGCGGCCGCTGTTATATTCACAAAATCGCTCCACCAAAACAAAGTCATTTGTTTGCGATCGTTTATATCAGCCCATATTCTCTGGCACTTCATGTACTTTACAGCTGAGTTCATAATCTGTGCCCCAGTGATTTCAACTCATTGCTGCTGGAGCGCAGCGCATATGAAGCTTTTTTTAATTTATTTATTTGCGTTCGGTAGATCCCTTTGGCTGATTACTTGGAAAGTAGGAAATCTAGGAAACAGTTTTTCGGAGAAAACATGCAGCATGCAGGAAGGTTAGAGAGAGAAAGGGCAGGAAATTATTCAAATATAATCAAGAAAACAAAACAAAGTGCTTGAAAAGAAAAAAAGTCAGTAGATTTATCCCCAATACACATGTTTACCAGTGAAAAGCAATAATATATAAGCATTTAATATTTATACATGTGATAGAATCCGATCACCCCAGAAGTCAGTCCCACATCCAGGGCCGTATCAAGGCATTTGAGGACCAAGGCAAATATAGGCTTGGAGCCCCCACCACCTCACTTCCTGCTCAGATGGCCCTATAAGATGTCAGCGTGCTGAGAGTACAGATTGTTGTTGCTTTTATTTAATAAACAATCATTTTAAAGCATATCTGACTGTTTTTAACAGCAATCCTAGCTCAGACACCACATCACTTTCCACATATGTCATGAGCTCACTGAGCGTCAGATTACCAGATTCATATTGAAGTTGTTTTGGTGAAAGTAACTTAAAGTAATGCAAAAGTAGTGTAATGCCTTACATTTTAAAATCAGTAATATTGTAATGTAATGAATTACTTTAAAATGACAAGTAATAAATAATGCATTAAAGTTCTGAAGTAACTTGCCTGACACTGGTTACTGTGCAAATAAATCAAACTTAAATCTAAAGTGTTTCAACTCGTGGCCATCCCCTCTGGCTTCACCCTCCTAATAACCACCAGGTTTGTCTTTGGGTGTGATTAGCTGCAGGAATGCAGTGTGTTAAAAGCCGTTCTGCCTGGCAGAGCAACCCTCTTCTCTACATAAAAGAAAACATTGTGTTTGAAGGATTTAAAAAGGTTTAGTTATTTTTCTCTCTCTGCTTTTAGATCACAAATTCTGCTCTGTGGAAAGAGTGATGTACAAGTTTGATGCCGGAACATGGTATGTAAATAAAAAATAGCTTCATTACTTAAAGTCTGCAGGTATTTTTGTTGTTGCCACACCTGCCAACTAGTAGTGTTACTGAAACACCCTCTCTACCCTCCGTCGTGTTCACATCCCAGACCTTGAGCTCGGAGCATCAATTACAGCAGCAACAAAAACCACAAGTGTGTTATTAAAGCGGTCCAAGTTTGCCATCAAGTTCTTACCTGGATATTCAATAGCAGGGCACCAGATCCTGCCGTTCCCTGAAAGCCTCAAGCCTATAACCTCACCAACCCACTGACATTTAACCATGACGGCGTGCTACTGTGTTCAGCACTTACTGAGAGTGTCTCTTGTCTTCTGTCTGTGGACAAATCAGTTCCAACTTACCAAGAAGGAACTAAAATCTGCAGAAAAGCTGCTCAGTTATTGACGATCCCTTTGTTTTTTAAATCCTGAATGTTAGAATTTCTCATGTGTTTATTTTTCTGCTGGTGGTGTTTCTGTGCAGCAGTAAGACCGAACCAGTAGATAGTGAGACGGTGATCAGAGCGCGGGGCCTTCCATGGCAGTCTTCAGACCAGGACATTGCTCGATTCTTCAAAGGACTTAATATTGCCAAGTAGGTATCTCAGTTACTCCAGTGAATTAGGACACAACACTATTTGAAAGTAAAACATATGTTATTCTAGTAAAAAGAATAAAGCATATATATATATATATTAGAGGAAAATTTAGATTTTGAAATCCTCCAGAACTAGTCTTCTTGTCCTTCAGTATCGGTGGATACGAGTCAACGTATAGCCAATATTGTAATGCTGAGATTAGTTGTGACCGATTTTGCTTAAATGTAGCATATAAATAATATATGCTTATGGGACTACTTCTAGAGATATGTCATTAAAGGGGACATATTTTGCTATACTCACCTTTTGCATCCTTTTGAGCTGCCATGTTGGTGTTAACTACTTCCATAAACATTCCAAATGTAAAAAAAAACTCATCCATTTATTTTCTTTAGGAAATATGAGCGTAGAATGAAGTTTCAAAACGTCCCTGATTGTGACATCACAAATGGGGAAATTAGAATGGATCCACCTTTCACGTGAAAGAGAGCTGCAACTGGAGGAGCAGCAGCTTAACTCGGAGCCCTTCTCAAATGTCGGAGCTTCTCAGCTTATAGCAGCCTGAGTGTGTGTGTATGTGTGTGTGTTGGGGGGGGCGAGGGGCGTGGTCAGCTCCAGCTTGTTTTCATTAAGTTAGAGTCATGAAACAGCTCATTCTGGAAGGTACTGAAACTGTCGAGAATAAAAATGCTGAATTTACCTTATGTGAAAGGGATTTAGTGCAAAGAACTTTGTAAACATTTATTTTATTTGGAATAAAGTCAGATGCTGCCTTTAAGACTTCACTATTTGAATCATTGTAACAAAATATACATTTTCATCTTCACTAGTGGATGTCTTGTTCTTCCAGGGGTGGCGTGGCCCTCTGTCTGAATGCTCAGGGCAGGAGGAATGGAGAAGCCTTGGTTCGTTTCATCAACTCGGAGCATCGAGACCTGGCTCTGGAGCGCCACAAACATCACATGGGCAGCCGATACATTGAGGTTAGTGCTGATCTGTTAGCCGCTAGTTTAGTGTGTAAGTATAAAAATCGCTCGGAGGGTCACTGCCTCAAACATTTATGCAGTCTGGATGTAAAAATGAATCCAAAATATTCGGGCAGAACGAGCCAAACCCTCATAGCTGCTAAGGCAGCAGTAGCTCAGGATTTTGAGCGGGTTGTCTAGCAACAATCGGAAGGTTGTAGGTTCAATCCCAGTTCCCACCAGAGAATGCTGCCATTGTGTCCTTGGGTTAAGCCTGATTCATGCTTCTCCATCTACGTCAGTGCGGAGGTCCTTGTGGACCTGCTGGAGAGCTCCGCAAGGACGGACGGAGTCGAGCTCTCTTTTCTAAAAATCCGTCAGTCGAGACGGACAACGCAAGCTTGTGATTGGTCAGGACACGGCTGTTATTTACAGCGCCACCATTGCGCCCTCAAAAACATAAAGAGAGCCGAGGATAACAAGCTTGAAGAATACCTCGCGAAAAACTCTTAAAACATGAACGTTTAATTCCCCGTGACTGGAGGAGTGAAAAGAGGTGCAGCAAGCGTTTTATTTGTGGATGGAAATGACAGGAAACGTGGGTTTAGAGGTGGGGAGCGCATGAAGAGGTGGAGGAGAACGAGAGACAAATTTGTCTGTGTTAAAAGTCTCTTATATACAAAAAGGGGTGGGGGGTGGTTGTAGAACCCTAAGAAGGCGCTATAAAAACACAGACCATTTACCAGCTGCTGTTGAACAGTTTGATATTGGATTATTATTTTGTAAATCTAAAACTTTTTGTCGTTTCCAGGTCTACAAAGCAACAGGAGAGGAGTTCCTGAAGATTGCTGGAGGTCAGATTTCTGTCTTCTTCTCAGTTGCTTTATGTTTGCATGATGTATAGCTTCTTCATTCTGTGGTGTTCCTGGATCAATAGGGCCCTCTCTCTCTCTCCCTCTCTCACTCACTCACACACACGCGCACACACACACACACACACACACACACACACACACACACACACACACACACACACACACACGTTTGTAGTTCTTCTGTTACCTGTGTGTCTTTGCCTCATCAATGACTCACTGGCTGCCAATCTCAAACTAATAAAAGACACTTTGTGAGGCACACTCACCCCACTCACCCCTCCCCCACTTACCCATCTAACCTCCTCATCTGAAGGCCGGCCCCTCTGAGGCTCACCTGTTTGGGTCCACTCCCTCGGGGCAACGTGGGCAGACTCCTGGTGAAAGGACAGGCTGCTGTTACAGATGTGTGTGTGGGGGTTGGGGGGGGGGGGGGGGGGGGTGGACAAAGACAGGACCTGAGGGTGGGGGTGCACAGCACTGAGCTGCAGTTGAACAGGTCACAGATAGCAGACACCACACACACACCTGTTGGACAGACTCTGGACTTTACACAGATTCGTGCGGATCAGCACAGATCGACATCACGCTGGACTTTAGGCAAACAAATCACAGAGGACAGTGTTATTTATGCAAATAGAATAAACAATCCTAAGTGAGTGAGTCAACATTGTTGTTGTTTCAGAAAGTGAAATGCTGCAACTCTGAGTTTTGTCTGAACTTCCCGGATCTAGAAAATGATGCTCAAATCATAAGAGCCTTATTCTGTAAACAATTCAAACCATAAGAATTTAAACTTTACAAATGCAGTCACAACATTTATCATTAAGATTGGTCTGTTTTCTACTATATTTAGACTTTTGGCAGGATTATCACCTGCTGTGAAACCATGATGTTTTTGCCTCGATTGTATAAGGTTTGTAAAAATATCCTGAAACGGATTTACATTTTCCTTATGATCACACTTGATTCAAGATGGCTACCTTACAACACACACGAGTTAAAACTCCGTTTTACATAAACTGACGTGACTTACTGAACAACCTTTTAAAGGAGTCCATAAAAATGAAAGTGTTTGTTTATTTTCTCCTTGTGTTTAATAGTGGATTTAAAAAACTGTATTAATGGTAATTGCATGCAAAGAACCAGATTGTCACAGATACTTAGATCTTGTTTGCATCTGAGTAAAAGTTGGAAAAGTAAAGGTCAGGGTCCCACTTTGGGCCACAAAACACAAAGTTGGGGGTCCCTAGTATTCAAATAAAGTGGGACAATAATCTTAAAATAGCCTTTTTTTTTACTACAGTATTTATAAAATGTATTCGTCATAGACAAAGAAGTACAACAAGAGTTAAAGGTGTTTATTATTAGTGACATTAGCATGCCGTAGAGCGAAATTGGGATTATAAGTTGTTGGCGTGATTATTTTGTGGATCAAAAGCAGTAATTATAAATTTGCTGTTTACTTTGTTTTTTTTAACATAACTCCAGTGGATGATTAAATGCCCTGAAATGAAAACGAGTCTCCTCTGTGACCTCAGGTACGTCCAACGAGGTGTCCCAGTTCCTGTCCAAAGAGAACCAGGTGATCATACGGATGCGCGGGCTGCCGTTCACCTCCACGCCTCAGGAAGTTCTGAACTTCCTCGGCCCGGAGAGCCCGGTTACAGATGGTTCTGAAGGTCTGCTCTTCGTCAAGTACCCTGATGGACGGCCGACCGGTGATGCCTTTGTGCTCTTCTCTTGTGAGGAGTACGCTCAGAACGCCTTAAAAAAGCACAAGCAGATCCTGGGCAAGCGCTACATCGAGCTGTTTCGGAGCACCGCGGCGGAAGTGCAGCAGGTGAGTTCTAGTCTGAAACAAAGGGTGTGCCGATTCTGAAAGGTGGTCTTTGGAATGAATGGTCCATTGTGGAATTATGTTGAATAAATGCAGAAATTGGCTTAAAACACAGAAAATCCGATTTCTGAACCTTTGATTTAACCCAAAACATTTTAGAAAACCAGCGAATGGCAGCTGCTTCCTCGTTTTCCAAACAACTGTTTCCATGGCAACAAGAAATTATGAAATGACTAAAGCCTGACTCAATTTGGTTGTTTTTTTTTTGTGTGTCACTATGCGCAACTGCTGAGATGTTTTTTTGTCTTTTAAAAGAAGCAAATAAATTAAAAGCTTGACTTTTGTTTCCTTTCAGGTCCTGAATCGTTACATGTCCGCTCCCCTGATCTCCACGCTGCCCACTTCTTCCATGGTGCCACTGCCGGTCCTCTCCACGCCTCCCTTCCTCCCATCAGCCAGCAGCACCCGGGACTGCGTGCGCCTCCGCGGTCTGCCGTACACAGCCGGTATCGAGGACATCCTGGAGTTCATGGGCGATCACACTGTTGACATCAAACCCCACGGAGTCCACATGGTCCTCAACCAACAGGTCGGAACCACGTAGAGGAGGAAAACACCTAATCCGAAGCTCATTTCTGTTATACATCCCAGAATTATTCCAACATGTGACACTGATCCCGTCTGTGATGGATCTGTGTGTTTTCCAGGGTCGGCCTTCCGGAGATGCCTTCATCCAGATGAAGTCACCTGACAGGGCGTTCCTGGTGTCCCAAAAGTGCCACAAGAAGACGATGAAGGATCGGTATGTGGAGGTCTTCCAGTGCTCCACGGAGGAGATGAGCATCGTCCTGATGGGAGGAACGTTGAACCGTAGCGGCCTCTCGCCTCCGCCCTGCAAACTTCCCTGTAAGTTTCTCTCAAACTGCCCTGAATGGGATCAGCGTCAGGATTCACAGCTACACACGGAATAGTCGATGCCAGGAATCTGGGAGATTATTTATAAATCTTTCCACTTCAGCTGAATATCAGATGTTTTCCAGATGAATTGTTGTTATTTGGCTCCTAAATGAGGGTTTAAGCAGAAAGCTCCTCCGATCTGTGGACTTTGTTCTGTTATGGCTCCAATCTGATGGAGATTAGATTAGGACTAAAAGTAAGGCTTTCTTTAGGATGTCTCTGTACAACGATTTTTGCTCATAGTTGAACTGGACACCAGTCACTCTTTATGTAGTGGTTTTTCCATCATGTGATGTGGTTGACACTGGGAGGACCACAGCCTGGAACAGATAGTAGCTGTTTGTATATAAATAGATGTGTGTCATTATTTATACGTTTTACATGACAGCATGAAGGTAAGCCTTATGAATACAGATCTGGTCAGACATTTACTCACCATCATTTGTAAACTTGAATAAAAATAATCTGTTTAGCTATTTTTACACACTGATAACCTTGATTTTAGCAAACGGGGCTAGTTTGAAACAAATGCTGGTGAGAGGTGGATCAGCTGCTGGATAGGACGGCCTGGGGTTTCTTGTGATTTCAACTTCCCAGGTTGTGGAGCTCGTGCATTGTACTTTTTTCTGACACACGTGGTAACGTATGTATGTTGTACAGATGTTCTCAGGTGTAGAAACCCAGCAGCGCCAGGATGCATGTCCAGGATTAGTGACCACGTCACAGAATGTTGGATGGTTAATTTTTGAGTTGAATAAAAAATTATAAATGGGGTTCTAGATTTAAAAACCGAATTTACCTTGTTGAATATAGGCAGCTTGGTTTTTAATGTAGCGTACCAGAAAGTCTGTGGCATCTCTGACCTGCGTTAAGTAAATGAGTAATTTAGTGATGGCCACAGAGAGACAGAGAACAGTTGGTTTAACGCTTCATAATCTTAAACACACCACCTTATATCTGTATGTCCCAACCCACTTCAGCGTCTGCAATATGTAAACGTTGGTCACGGTAATGCTAGCCGCAAAATAATTCTAGTCCAAGCTACTGCTAATGCTAGCCCGAGCAACTGCCACCGTCCTTGTTGGGTGAGAGGAAAATGAAGGTTTGAGCGCATCTGTAACTTTCCTGGGAATATCCAGACTTCCAGATAAATCCATAGCTTGTCTATTGAGTTATCTGGGTGCTGAACAGAGTTGCTAATTTCAGGCAGCATCGTAGTTATTGGAGTAAACTGACCAATCAGCACGCAGCTCATTTAATATTCATGTCCTGGCCAATTGGGGGCGGGGCAAACCAGTTTATCCGTTGTAGGGCTTTAAAATGGGTTTGTGTTTGGGCATTTATCCAGCCTCCTGGGCCATTTTGAGCCCCAACAAAGCTTCATGTGCTATAGAACAGTTTTCATTTGTAGAAAAAAATCGTTCTAGTAGAGGAGACAGATTTTAGGTTTTAACTGGGTTCTTCCAGATACTTGAATCCCAACAGGTTATTTTTAAGGCTTTGACAGTAACAGAAACTAGAGAGACACCGTGGAGAACAAAAAGGTGACCTGATTACCTAACCTGACCCTCAGATAATCCGAGCCATAGAAAATAATCTACTATTAGTTCTGCTTGTCTTGTGCCATCTCCATCAGTGTTTGAGAGCATTACATGCGTGTTTCTTTCCTGCAGGTTTGTCACCTCCAACAGCCTACACCGCCTTCCCTCCTACTCCTGCCATTCTCTCTGAGGCTGCTCTTTACCAGACCCCCTTGCTGGCTCCCCCCAGACCCCCACAGGCCACCATCCACAGCTCCGCCCACACTCTGGCCTACTACCCCCCTCAACCGCATCTCTACATGAACATGAACTACACGGCTTACTACCCCAGGTCAGCACAGCTGGAGCAAACGTCTAAAACAAGTAAATCTCTCCTTGTTCATTTCTCCTGACACCTCTGTTCCGTGTTCGACTCCCCCAGCCCCCCAGTTTCTCCCTCCACAGTCGGCTACTTTGCAGCTCCCCCCGGAGCCATGGCAGCAGCGGTTGCAGCGCAGTCCCACCCCTCCGCTGCCGCGACCTCCTCTATGCTGCCTCAGCCAGGCGCCCTGATGAGGATGCAGGGTTTGCCCTACAACACCGGGGTCAAAGACATCCTCAGCTTCTTCCAGGGATATCAGGTGACCTGCAGCACTCAGACCAACCCATAAACGTTCAGATCAGTTTCTACATGTGCAATTGCAGAAATGACTTTATTTATTAATCACGCTGAATTCTGCTGAGCAGGAGATGCTCAGCACCACATGCTGATGTTTCTAGTGTTTGATTAAAGAAACACGTGCAGCTCTGCTCCCCCCCTCCTTTTTGCCTCCTATGTGTATTGCTGCCAGAATTAGGTGGAGTCCCCTGGAGCAGGTATGACCCCCTGACAGGTGTGGCTTCACACTTTACAGGCTGAGGAGGGAGAGCAGTGGGGCTTCAGTAGGGGGTGGCATATTTATTATAATTAGGAAAATGTTTGGGTCTGCTTTTGGTCTTTGTGTCCTTTAGGGCTCTGCATCCTTTTTACTTTAAGACGCAGCCGTAACTAATGTATTCCACCCAAAACCGCTCATTTTGACTTGAACATAGTGTGTGTGTGTGTGTGTGTGTGTGTGTGTGTGTGTTTAAATCTAGCCATCATTTGGTGAATGTGTTTTCTGTTTTGGTGCGAGACTCATCCTGGTACCCTGCTGTGCCCGTGTGTGTGTGTGTATAATGTTGCATTGTGGGGCGATGCGGAGGTCTGACTGTGTGTCCATCGTTCACTATCTGTAGTACGCCCCTGATGAGTACAGCGGCGTGGTTCAGATGAGCGAACAGGCCCGGAGTCTGATTCAGCCCAAAGAATGGCTCTGCCTTTAGGGACTCAAGGTAAGAGGAGCCTCCGGAGCAGAGAGGAGACGTGGAGACGCAGCGGGGGGTGGAGGGGACATGTCTTCGTCTTTAACTAACATCTCGATCTGTCACACGAATCATCGAAATGAGGCGAGAAAGCTTTGAAATATCCAGTTGGTACTGAAGGGCAGTCTTTCTGAGGGGGGTTCTGAATGTTCATTTGCATAAAACTGGAAGAGATAAACATTGTAACTCACCCCCTTAGATCGGTGGTTCCCAAATTCAAAAACCAACCAACCTCAGCAACCATTTTTATCTATTTCTACTCATAAAGTGTTTTGTCTGTAATTATTTTAAATTCTAACTTGATATCTGGACTGAGTCCCTGATTTGGGAGCCACCATATTTAGATCCGGTTCCCACTGGACGAGTTTCACCTCAAAATAACTCCTCTAGTCTGCACAAAGCTCATTTTCTCACTGACGTGACTTGTTTCTCTCTTGCAAAGAAAAGTGACCTTTCAACGTTTAAAGCTCCTTAACTTGTTTTTATTAGTTCTGATTCTGGGGGAATAATCAAGAGCCTCCTGGACACTATCAGACTCCAGATTTTATTATTTTTTTGTGTTTGACAAAGAAAAATAGGAATATTTTAGTTTTACTTCTTAAGCTTTTTTTGTATTTTCCCCCGAATTCAAAAAAATAAAATAAATAAAAATTTAGAGCAAATTGATGCAAAGTAAGCTTGTTCTGCTGAAGAAGTCTCTGGTTGTTTCCATCCTTCTGTCTGTTGCTGATGAATTTTTACCGCCGTTTCTGCTCCTGTGATCTGACCTGCATGGTTGTGCTTCGTGTTCTTGCATCAGACTATCCGCTGTGCTTCCTTCATGCAAGCAGTCTAACAGGATATTTGTGTGTTGTGTTCGCCGGCGGTTGGTCCCATAGGATTCAGATTTAGGAGAACCTTCAGCTTCACGTTCAGCTTTTGGATTAGAAGATCCTCTCTGGTGGTGTGTGGTTGCTTCTCAGCTCTGTGGGCTCCCTCTTCTGGTGTCCTAATGCAATAGCGTCAACGTCCAGATAACTCCTTGGCTGTTTATTAATTTTTTATTTATTTGTCTTTCTGCAGCTCCAACCAGACGCAGTGCTTATTCTGTATAACTTCAGTGGCCACTGCAGCGGCGAGGCTTTGATCACTTTCCCTAGCGAAGAGATGGCCCGACGGGCCGTAGCAGAGTGCTCAAACCACCAGTTCTTTGGCCAGCAGGTCCACTTGGCGCTCTGTAACTGACCACCAGCCCTCCATCTCTCTCCACCTCGTTCGCTTTCTGCAAAGTGCCATCTCTCTCCACCTCGTTCGCTTTCTGCAAAGTGCCATCTCTCTCCAGCGAAACCTCCAGACTCCACTTTGTCTCTGCAGAACGCTTTTCTCCTCTGAGCCGTCACCGCTGGTCAGACACTCGTGCGGCCGCCGTTAGTTTTTTTTTTAACTGACTTTTACAACCTGTACCACCTGATTGTGGAGAGGAGATGACTTTGGAGCCCTGACGGACTCTGATGTGGCTCTGCAAAACTGAACTTGCAAATATATTTAAGTACTTTATAAATGTGTCGCTTATGGAATTGTACAAACGTTTGTCCTGAAAAGCTTGAGGCTGTACAAACATCCATGCACCAAATGTTTCTATAAATTTCTAATGATTTCACTTGGACAACTAAAGGATTTAAACTTTTGTGTTCATGAACTTGTCTAGGCTTGATGTTTATTATTTGATGTCCTCCAGCAGCGTAAGGATGGAGAAGTAAGCCATATAAACTGCTTTAGAGTAGAAACGCTGGCGTGCATCTGTACGTTAAAATGAGTTTTGAGCTTCAGGGACGTTCTGCTTCACCAGACTTCACCACAGCTGTTCCCGAACACCAAATCACCCATGACTTTGTTTTTCTGTTGTAAAAGCATTTATTGTTCTTGGACATCCACATGTTTTCTAAGCACTGCAGCTTCCTCTCTGCTCCAGCTGTGGGGAAAATGAGCTGCACATCTGTAATAGCTAGATAAATTAATCCTATTTTTATGAATGCAGTTTCTTTAGAAGAGCTGGGACTTTTGTTATTAAATGTAAAACAACCGAGGCTTTTTGCTGAATTTTTTATAACGACCAACCACAGCTGCTGCATATTTTGTTTCCAGGCTGCGATTCCTGCCTGCAACCAGACTACTGAGTAAAGTTGCATGACTTTGATTTTCCTTCCTGTGAAAAGCCTACTGACGGTTTAGCTTTAGTTGATCCCCTTTACTGTGCCTACATTACCCAGAGTGCAATATTGGCCCAACAGAGGCTAAGTCAGCTTCTGGTGGAGGACGACATGTTTCTTATGTTGTGAGAACACGTGCATGAAATTAAGTCTTTGTATAGATTGTAAACAATAAAAATATCAAATGTAAATGTTTCAGTTCTTAGACGTTTTAATATTTAATTAGTGGAAGAACATATTACCTGCCAATAACCTGAAAAGAAACTGTGTCTAAAACTTTAATATTGAAGTAGAGAATGAAATCAAACATGTTGAGATTTATTTGGTCCCAGGTTTTATTTTCAGGCTAGGACATGATTCTGCAAGAATCGTACTAAAAAGAAACAAACTTGTTCTGATTTTGCATCATTTAACCCTCTAAAGCCCAACGCATGAATAGAAAATCAACACTTTATAAAGGGTTTATAAAACAAGATTTTAAATTTCATCTGTATCATGTAGACTTTCCACCAGAGAGCAGGCGACTTTAGAAATCAATCCTGCAGGTGTTTTGAGGAAAACTTAGAAATTGGTGTAAAGGGGTGCATTTAAACCCTGAATGTGTCATTTTTTTCAAAATAAGAGCCTCTCTGAGAAAAATGTAAATTTTGACTCATAACATCAACATTAAGCTCCTTTATTTCCTTTAAAGGTGCCGTTGACTGAAACTGTTTTTAATGATTATTTCTGATAATCAAGTTACTGAGTTTTTTATGCAGGCTGAACATGAAAATCTCATACACCCACTTCCTGCATTAGCTTCTGATAGAAAATTAATGGTGAAACTCTAGGATTTGAAAAACCTGACCGCTGTACGTCACATTGTGAAATGGACTTACCCATACTGACTTACGACAGGGAAGGCTGCTGTTTTAGCGTCCAGAATCAGCAGAGAATGTCTCTCAACAGAAGATAACCATTTGCATTAGCAACTCAAACACACAGCTGAAGCTCCTCCAGGCTTGTTATTTGTGGAGATAAGAAATCCATGTCTGGGATCAGAGTTTGTGGTTGAGTCGTATTGCTTTTATCCAATCCGAGGCAAGATGTCCAACTATCAGGAAATAAAAATCCAAATCCTCCCATTTTGACCCAATCTCAATACTTGCACTGCGTCCTGTGGTCTTCATTGCTAAAAGTTTCAGAATATCAACTAATTGTCCTAAAATGAACTACTTTCATTAGAAAATGCATATTTTCAGAAAAGGCACTTGAGCCTTTTCTCCCACAGCAATGGATTTAGGGTAATACCCCTCACCCAAGGGTGAAGTGCGGCTCAAGGGTGCAAAAGGGGTGTGATCAACTTCCGCACTTGAGAATCTGGACACCCTGCGCACTCGCATCCCTGGTCGGGATCACGCAATTGAAGGGCGCAAGTGTGAGTAATGGGATTGGGCCTTTAAGCTCAGCTCTGCTGGGCCAGGGGTTTGTGGGCTTTTTTGTGCCTGGAGTTCTGCCTGCAAGACATTCATTCCTACTGGAGACCACTGCAAATGCACTGATTAAACGAGTAATCCACACCTTTAAATTCAGTCAGGTGTAAACCAAGCATGCTTGAGTTAGATTTAGTGAGTTTTAACACTATACAACAAAAGCATGTTGCATTCAGCCACAACATGAAATGAAATGCTGCTTTTCCAAATTGAGAATTTTTACAGGAAAAAAAATGGCTGTTTTCTGAAATTAATGAAATAATTTTACAGAAAAAAATTAAAATAGCTTTGTTTTTCTGAATTAATGAGAATTTTTACAGGGGAAAAAAATCCCTCCGCAGCGCTGATGATGCTCTGGCATTCGGGAAAATAGCCTTTTAAAAACAATTGTGTAATAATGATCTCATTTGGACAAACTGAGTTTTTATTTATTTTTTGGTGGCTGAATACAATTTGCTTCCATACATTTCAGCCCCCAGTAAATTTGCAGAATGTATTTATTACTGAAACTAGATTCTACAACAATTTTTTTTTCTAACAGTTTCTTTTTGGGGGTAAAAAGATTAAACACCAAACCAAAAGGAAGTTTTTTTTTGTTTTATTGACATACGCTACATTAGAGCCTACAATATGATGCAGGGTATTATTCCCTTTGAATGGTTTCAAAAAGCACTGCAGTCTTAAAAATTACAAAAGAAAAGAAATTAACATACAAAATGTACAAGAAATAATACAAGACTCTGTAAATACATCAGCTAAACCTGTATTTCCCTTTTACATTACAATTTTTTTATATATATATATATACGTATATATACATATATATATATACGTATATATACATATATATATATATATACATATACACACACAAGTCAGACACCCAGTCATATTTTTTGAACCTCTTAGGAATGACATCCTTTTCCAAGTATCAAAAATAGTTTTACTGCCGTTGCAGCTTTTCTATCTAAAAGGGGAACACCTTGTTCTCTTTGGTTGTGACAGAAGATGCAGCAGCCAGACTTTTACCATCTATGCTGGTTTTGTTTCATGTTTCTGTTGCAGACACGAATTCCCCAAGCTGCAAATCTCAACTGTAATACAAAGACCCATTTCTCAGTTTATGCCCATGATGTGCCCCAAAACAGACATTTTTATTTTAGTTCCTAACCTACATCTTAACGGGCGAGAAAGCAACAGCGTTCAGACTAAATGGTTCTTAGACAAGAGTTAAGGCATCCTAATAGTTCACATGATATTCTCATACAAACGTTTTTTTGTCTCCTTTTCTCATTTAAAATGGAAAAATTACAAGTTTCTCATATTTAACATATCTCACATTTGCTGTCGTTAGTTTGCATAGCCTAAATGTGCTTCTGTCACTGAAAACAGGACTCGTCTCTTCTGTACAGGATATTTGGTTCAAACACCTACCGTCCACACACACTCAAGACACACACAAACAATGGATTTAGATGCTAAGTTTCCTCCATTCAGGAAGCAACAGAATCAAGCATCAACAAGTCTACAGTCTACTTCTATAGGCATCGTGGTAAGTTTCTTCCCCCCCCCCCATTATTTTAAAAGGCATTAAGCAGAATATCAATGCATAGCAGAATCATTTTACCTGAAAACTGACTCCAAACCATCACTGTCCAGCATCGTCGTCCATCTTAAGGCAAAAACACCAGTGGGAATCGTAAAACCAGCATCATCTCCGTCCTGGGATTCAGTTTATTGCTGCCATACAGGCACAGGAAATTTGCAAGAGTAGGACAGCTAAAATGTCACGATGCGTAGAAGTCTTTCGAGACCAGCGAACATTGATTGTTGTGAGCAAGTAGTCCCAAATCCAGCCAGACTTCAGGAGTTTACCTTGTTCTTTACAGACACAGAAACGTGACATATAGACGTCTCTACGTAGAAAATACTGTCATGACGTTTCTCAGGTTGTTTCCTGTCAAATGCTGCACAGGCGGTCATGGTCGTGGAGTACGGTGGCAGTTAGGAAGCTGAAGGCACAGCAAGGCCTCAGAGATTAAAGGATGAGAAAGGGAATAGAGCTTCTGTAGATCAATGAAAACACTATTGTAACATAGAAATAAGGGATTTTTTTCTTTTTATATATGTATACATATATATATATATATATATAAAATGTCAAATCTCTAATTATGTGTCCTAGTTTTACAATCATCAAACCTAAAGCGTGCTGTGCAAAACTACAACAAAAGCTTTAGCTACCACTGAAAGCTGCTCGGCATCAATAAGGCATTTGTTCAGCTCAAAAAGCACGAGAGAGGGGCGTAAAACACACAAACACAAAGGGGGTTTTAAAGATAAATAAACAGCTGCAAGGTTCCTAAAAGGTGTGGAATGTTGCATTTTGTAGAACTTGGGATTAGTCGGGAGAAAACTTTCCATTTTTATTAAAAAATCTGCTGGATCAGGGACGTTTGTTTAAATTTGACACAACAAGATACATTTTTCCTCCTTTATGGTGATGTTTTAGTCTTTAAGCTCAAGAGGGAAACAGCTCAGAGCTTCACTTCTGCTCCTGGAGGTCAATGCTGGTGAAAATCATATTCGCTGAAAACCTGTTAGCAAGAAGAAATTTGGGCTCGCAGAGGAGGGAGCTGATTGGCTGTGAGCCTGGGCTCTGGCTCCACTGGCCTGCCTAAAGTCACCTCTACCTCGGAGTCAGAGCTACAGCATCACAGAAAGGAATCGTCGCTCAGTCGAAGCTCCTCCACTCTCCTCCCACAAGGACCTGAAACCAGAACCGGGTGCCGGTTCAGAGTCGTAGCTGTGGAGATTGGAGGTTTAGGAGCTGGGGGCGTTGGAGCTTTAGAAAGAGCTGAGCTATGACTGGTTGTGAACTGATGGAGGAACGTGAGTGCTGGGGGACTGGGACATGTCTCTACCGATGATCTCATTTACTGTGGAGACAAAAGAAGACACAAAAAGAGCAAGACTGTGAGTACAACCAAACTTCTAGCCGCTAGCTGAAGGGTTCTAACGTTTGGTGGATGAGCTTCGGGGATAGATTGGGACAATAAAGCCTAGTTTAGACATCTCCGTCTGCGGGGGTGTGGAGACGCGCAGCACCATTCTCTCTCCAACGGGCACGTAAGTGTAACATCCAGAAAGGGTCAGTTTTGACCTATATATTGACTTACATAGTGAGCGGTCATCTACAGACATAATTCCACTATCTAGGTGGAGTTGCTACTCTATCTTCTAACACCCAGAAGATTCTGCAGGGCTTGTTGACAGGCCATGAAGACAAGATTGTCAAACTTATCTCAGACTGCTGGATTCCACACTCTGAATGAAAAGTGAACTTTTACAGCTCATGAGTTAAATAATCATTTATAATCATCTGGTTGAATGAACCAGATGTTAAATGAAATGTCTGAATAATCTGTGCCTAATTCAGTGAAGTTGAAATGAATATAGTTTTTACAATGATCCATTTATATCGTATGATCAGTAATGTTTGATTTAACAAGTTAATCATTATCTTCACTCATACACAATGTTCATTAGATGCAAATTAAGGTTAAGGTCATCTCACATAAAGTTTAGATTCTTTATCCACAGAACTAGATCAGCTTTTATCTGGAAGGTGTGGTTTTCTGAGGGACGTTTGGTAAAGCCTACAAACGTGTCAAATTCTGATTCACAGAAATGATAGCAAGTGGATTATTAAAACTAGAGTGACTTCCCGAGTTTTTCTGTTTCGAGCGGAACTCCGAAGTGACCAATTCAGAACCAGCCTCCTTGAGACACCTCTCTCTTTGACACACAGTCAAACCTATTGGCACACTGCCAGATGACACAGCCACACGGCTCCTTAAGAGTACATCCGTGTTAGACGCAAAGAACCTTCCTGCCTGTTGTGACCTGGAGAAAACTCTAGACCGGACTGGTTGCACTGCAGTTATTCTACGAACTTCGGTGCCTTGAGGTCCACACGACTTCCTGACATTCCGGATCTGACCGGGGGTCTCCGATCAGGGTTTGTAGAAACAACAGATTGTGTCTGACGTTGTTTTATTAATAATCAACTCTCTAGTTTACAGCAGACAACAAATTCTTTTACACAGAGAATTCACAATCTCTTTCAGATTACAAAGGTTCTGATACACACCTACTTTACACCACACCAACTCATATCCACCACACCACATCTCATTATTCATATCTTGTCATGTATCATTAGTTTAGGGAAAAATAATTAAATTCATTTTATAAACTCTATACCTGACTCTGTCTGAATTAATACGAAGTGTGTTTATAGTCCCTGAACATGCAAAGAATCCTAAAATATTCTGATTAAACATTCAAAGATAAATCAGGTTAATATTTCATATTTGTATGGAAGATCACATCTTATTAGTCATATTTAGATATGCAGTCATTACGCTATAAAGCACAACACTACATAATGATGGATGAATGAGCAACAGGTGATCGGCTGGTATGATCGCCTCTGAAAGGCTTTGAACAGAATTTGCAGATCATGGTTTTTCCACACAGGTCGGCTGATTTTTTTCGGTGGCCAAAGCTGCACTTTAGGACTCCTCCGCACATTTCCTATGATTGCAAAGTAAAGCAAAAACCTTCAGTGGATTCTTCTACTTTGGTATTTGTCTGGTTTTTTTCTGGTCACTGGGCATCAAAACCAGGAATCGGGATTAAAAAATTTAAACGATTCCAGAAAAACTGATAATTAGCCCCGGTTCAAATCAATGCTCAACTATTAAATATTATATTAGCAAAATCAATAAAATAAAACAACCCTGAATGTCCTTCGGATGTTGCTGGCGTGTTTTAACAGGAACCCGATTGTGTTTCAGCATTATCTTATTTAGTCTCTAGTACGGGTCTGAATCTTACAACTCACGATTTGATTCAGAATTGGTTCTTGATTCAAATCAATTCACAATCAATACGTATAGAGCGTAGTCTAGTGTGTGTGTGTGTGTGTGTGTGTGTGGTCTGAAGCAGGAAAAAGAAAAGAGAATACATTGTGCCAGTATATGAGGAACATCTTAAACTAAAAAACAGTTTTTTTATATCAACTTTATTCACATGAACCAGTAACATTTATCACTGAACATGGAGACCAACAGGCACTAACTGGTCCTACAAGCATCGATAATGCACGGTGCTGTGTGCACGAAACATAAACAGGAAAACACTATTTAAACATTATAAAACACAATTATTTTACTCACCTGTTTTTATGTTTAATACTTGGTCAGCTTATTCATTAAGTCGATTAAATTTGTTAAAATGTTTGATTTCACTTGAAAAAAAACTTCAGAGTTCAAAAACTGATTCTGGTTCAGAAATATTTGCCTCCACTCTCATTTGTGACATTTTAGCAGGTAAATAAAGGAGGAAACTGTCTAGATATCGGGTTCAGCAACAGAAAAGCACATATCAGTCTGCTTGAGGTCTTAGGAATGATGGGATGTGACTCCATCTGTAGGAGGAAAGAAGGCATTGCTCCTGGACACCTTCAGATGTTCTTGGATCTGACTGGTTGGAACAGTTGAGAACAGAATCCTGATCCAGCTGAGAAGCTTTATTACCACATGGTTAGTAAAAACTAGCTTTCAGCACTCCAGCTGCTTGTTCTTCATAAAGTAGCAGATTAACTCTAAGGGCATTTGCGCTTCCTTCCAGCAGAGGGCGATGTAGCTTCACGCCAAACTGATTAGAAAACTGAGCTCACAAAGTCAGCAAGAACAACAACATGTTTGTTACCTTCCAGGTAAAGCTCCTCAAACTTAAAGTCTAAACCCTGTAATTAATGTCAAAAAGGCAGCTCAGTTTAAGAGTTTGGTTTCAATAAAAAATTACAGATAAGTATCAATTTGTGCGGCAGGGGAATGTGTTTTAATTCTGTTTTTTTATTTACATCTGCTGCCTCCATTCAGAGCTCACAGTGGGACCACAAGAAACAGCAGCAAGGCTTGTAAAATCTGTAGCCTTGAAGTGAATCGACATCAAGTACTTTGACGCGGTGAGAAAGACACAAGGACGGGGACACACGAGACCTCAGTTTGACTGAAACGTATGGAAAACGTGTCTCACTCCCACCGTAGAAACGTGTCAGCGAATTCTTCATGTGGTTTGCTCCAAGAATGTTAAAAGTGACAATGAAAGGTCAGGCAACAGGAATCAACACAGGGAAAACTGGTTTGAGAGGGTGTAGAAAAGACCTCTGGCCCAGTTAGGCAAGTGGGGATTTACGACCTGACTAGTTTGAACATGACAGATAAAATACAGCCGTACCTCGATGCAACGCTAACACAAAATCAAGACATTCTCCAGCTCATAAGTAAATGTCTTACGGTAACTAAGCTTAAGATGAAAGTGAGTCAGTCGGAGATGAGCAACGGCTCCCGGCCAAGAGGATTTCTGAAGAAAAGCTATGTCATATTTAAATTTTACACCACAGCGAGCTGCCACCCAAACCTGTACAACACAGAGTTTCACTAATCTGATCATCATTCAGCCCCTAAAGCCTTTTCTTCTTCAACTTCAATAAAGCATTGTTCTTCTAGACGCTTTGCTGAGGCGTCAAGTTCTTTGGCGTGCAATATTGGTGTTTTCTGGTGCTTTGCTTTTGTGTCTGGCCACCATCATTCGCATCATTCATCGTTTTTTTCGGTACTGTGCTGCTCTGGGTGGCTGCATGTTGGAGTAGCTCTGTTGACTATATGTAAGTTTTGCCTTTTTTTGGAAATTTTTTTCTTCTAGTTTCTCAAGAAAAACGTTATTTTTTTGGACATTTTACTTTTCTGTTTCTGGTGCTGTGAAGTTTAGAGGATTTTTACTGCTATTTTTTTTCTTCACTTTTTTAGCATTTGTTATGATGCATAACCATGGCAACAAGCTGGTTTACAATTGGGAGCAGCTGATTAACATTGGGAAGGCTGCACCTGGCGGTAAGGCGTTTCCTGTTTCCTGTTTTCAGTGTTGCACTCCGTGTAGCTGTTTGGTGTTTGGGGCTCGCTAAAGCTGATTTAATTTCTATGTACATGGATATTTCTGAGTTATTGTAGCACAAAAGCACGCTAAAACGCACATTTTCTGTTGTTCCACCTAGCTTTTAGGGAACCATTTGAGTCTGCACGCAGTTTATTTGGTACTGAACAGTTTGCTGCTCATCCAGTTAGCTTAGCCTCAGCACGGCTATGGCTACTTCTGTCTCTGCTTCTCCGTCTCCTATCTCTTGCTCTCTGTGTCAGATGTATAGTTACTCCTCTGCCTCCTTTAGTGATAATGGTACGTGTAATAAATGTAGCATTTTTGTAGCTTTGGAGGCGAGGGTGTCGGAATTAGAGTCCCGGCTCCGCGCTGTTGAAAAACCTGTAAACAGCCGTAGTTACTTTGCTAGCGCGGGGCTAACTAGCTCAGAACAACCCCGTAGCGACCCTCCAGTGGAACCCGAGCAGCCGGGACCTCAGGCCGGCTGGGTGACGGTACGCAGGAAGCATAGAACCCAGCCCGTGGGCCACCACCAACCCGTCCACGTTTCTAATAGATTTTCCCCGCTCAGTGACGCACCCACTGACAAGCCGACTCTGATCATTGGCAGCTCCATAGTCAGAAACGTGGCATTAGAGACTCCAGCAACCATAGTTAAATGTTTACCTGGGGCCAGAGCGGGCGACATTAAATCTTATCTGAAACTGCTGGCTAAGGATAAGCGTAAATACAGTAAGATTGTTATTCACGCTGGCGGTAACGACACCCGGTTACGCCAATCGGAGGTCACTAAAATTAATGTTGCTTCGGTGTGTAAGTTTGCCAAAACAATGTCGGACTCCGTAATTTTCTCTGGCCCCCTGCCTGATCGGACCAGTGACGACATGTTTAGCCGCATGCTGTCCTTCAACCGCTGGTTGTCTAGGTGGTG